TGGACCCGGACCTCCTTCTGCTTCACCGACAACTTCAACTGGGAATCTGCAGGAGACAAGCAGGACAGAGTCAGTAGGGTGAGGAGAGGAGGAGGAAGAGGAGAGGAGGAGGGAGGGGAGAGGAGGAGGAAGAGGAGAGGAGTGAGGAGAGGAGGGAGGGGAGAGGAGAAGGAAGAGGAGTGAGTGGACCCGGACCTCCTTCTGCTTCACCGACAACTTCAACTGGGAATCTGCAGGAGACAAGCAGATCAGTGGTGAGGAGGGGGGGGAGAGAGAAGTGAGGAGGCGGAGTGAGGGGAGAGGAGGAGGAAGAGGAGAGGAGTGAGGAGAGGAGAGGAGGGAGGGGAGAGGAGGAGGAAGAGGAGAGGAGTGGAGTGAGGAGAGAAGAGAGGGGAGAGAGGAGAGGACAGGGGAGAGAGGGGGAGGGGAGAGGAGGAGGAAGAGGAGAGGAGTGAAGAGAGAAGAGAGAGGAGAGGAGGGAGGGGAGAGGGGGAGGAGAGAGAGGAGAGGAGAGGAGTGAGAGGAGGGGTGGGGGGAGAGAGGAGTGGGGAGAGAGGGGGAGGTGAAGTGAAAAGGGAGGAGAGGAGAGGAGGAAGAGAAGAGGAGAGGAGTGAAGAGGAGAGGGTGAGAAGAAGAGGAGAGGGGGAGGGGGGGAAGGAGGAGAGGAGGAGGAGAGAGAGGAGGGAGAGAGGGAGGAGTGGGAGAGGGAGGGGAGTGAGAGAGGAGAGAATTGGAGGGAGAGAAGGGAAAGAGGGAGGAGTAGTGAGAAGAGGAGAGGAGTAAAGAGAAGAGGGAGGAGTGAAGAGGAGAGGAGTGAAGAGGAGAGGAAAGGAGTGAAGAGGAGAGGAGTGAAGAGGAGAGGAGAGGAGTAAAGAGAAGAGGAGAGGAGTAAAGGGAGAGGAGTGAAGAGGAGAGGAGTGAAGAGGAGAGGAGTGAGAGGGAGGAGTGAAGAGGAGAGGAGTGAAGAGGAGAGGAGTGAAGAGAGAGCGAAGAGGAGAGGAGTGAAGATAGAGCGAGGAGGAGAAGGAGTGAAGAGAGAGGGAGAAGAGGGAGGGGAGGAGAGAGGAGAGAGGGAGAAGGAGAGAGCGATAAGAGGAGGGAAAGGAAGGGGAGGTGAGGTAGAGAGATATAGGAAACAGAGGGAGGAAGGGGAGATGGAAAAGAGAGGAGGAGAATCAAAGAAAAAGGAGGAGAAAGGAGGAGCAGAATGGGGAAGGAGATGAGACACAAAATGGGGGAAGTGTGGGAGGAAAGGGGAAGAGGCATGGAGACAAAACAGAGAAGAGGAGAGGGGGGGGAGAAGAGGTGAAGAAAGGAAGGAGAGGGAGCAGAAGAGAGAAGGGAGGGGGAGGAGGAATCGAAGGAGAGATTGAGAGGGGAAGGAGAGGGGGAGGGAATGGGGGAAGGAGAGGGATGGAGAGGAAGGAGAGGGGAGGAGGGGAGAGGGGAGGAGGGGGAAAGGAGGGGGGAAGGAGAAGGAGCGGAGGAGGGGAGGAAGGAGTAAAGGAGGAGGAGGAAGAAGGAAGGGGGAGAGGGGAAGGGGGGGGAAGGAGGAGGGAAGGGAGAGGGGAGGAAGGCGAGGGAGGGGGAGGAGGGTGAGGAGTAGGGGGAGGTGGAGGAAGGGAAGTCGCGGAGGAGGAGGAAGGGGACCCGAGAGTCCAGGGGGAGGCCCTATCGAAGGAGAGGAAGGAGGAGGGGGGAGAGGGGAGGAGTAGGAGAGGGGAGGAGGAGAAGGAGGAGCAATCAGAAGGAGGAGGAGGGGAAGGAAGCTTAGGAGGAGGGAGAGGAAAGCGAGGAGAGGAGGCGAGGAGGAGGAGGGGCGAGGAGGAGGGGGAGAGGAGGAGGGAGAGGAGGGGTGAGGTAGGAGGAGGAAGTTGGAGGAGGAGCGAGGGAAGAGGGTACCAGGAGGAGAGGAGGGGAGGAAAGGGGAGGAAGGAGGGGAAAGGAGGAGGAGGGTAAGGAGAAGAAGAAGGGGGGGGTAGGAGGAGGAGGAGAGGAGAAGGAGGAGGAGGAAGGGGAGACGAAGGAGGGGAAAGGAGAGGAGAGGATCTATCTAAGGAGAGCACAGGGGGAAGGTAGGGGAGGAGGAGGAAGAGGAGGGGTTCTGTGAGAGGGGAAAGGAGGAGAAGAAGGGGAGGGGTGGGAGGGGGGAGGGGGCTGAAGGTGTTCGCGGGGGGGGAGGCTGGAGGAAGGCGAAGGGAGGGGCGAGGAGGAGGAAGGGAGGGGAGGGGGCGGAGGAGGAAGGATACGCACAGGGGGAGGACTCAAAGGGGAAGGGGAGGGGGAGGACCGGAGGAGGGAGCGAGAGCATCCCGGACGGAGGGAGGTCCGGACCGGCGGGGAAAGGGCGCGAGGAAAACAGCGAGAGGAGGAGGAGCTCTATCATGGATCAGAGGACGAGGGTGAAGCCCCATAAGGGAAGGAGGACTAAAGTTTGGCCCTGAGGATAAGGAGAGCCTACGGGAGAGGGAGGAGAAGAGGAGGGAGGGAGGAGGGTGAAATGAAATCGGCGCGGGAGGAGAAAAGGAGGAAGAGGAGAGGGCCGGAGCCTGGAGGAAGGGAGGCTTGGCGAAGAGGAAAAGAGGAAGAAGGAGAGGAAGAAGGTGCGGTCGAGGGAGCTCGAAGCGGAAGGAGAGCAGAGGCCTGGAGGGGGGGAGCGGGGAGGAAATTTTTTAGGTGGAAGAGCATGAGGAGGACGCGGCGAGGTAAGGTGGGAGAGGGAGGGAGGAAGGAAAGGAGGCAGAGGAGGAAGGAGAGGAGGAAGGAGGAGGGGAGGAGCGTAAGGAGCGATGAGAGAAAGAGCCTTCTGGTGGGAAGGGAGGAGGGAGGAGGGAGGAAGGAGAGCATGGAGGTGAGGAGAGGGGAGAGATAGGAGAGAGGAGAGGTTAGCGGAGGGGAATGGAGGGAAGAAGGCGGGTCGCTAGGGAGGAGCGAGCGGAAGGACAGGCGGGAGGAGGGGGGGAGGGGGGTGGGGCAGGGGGCAGGAGAGAAGGGGAGGCCTAGCGAGCCCGGCGTTGGCACGGAGCCGTCGCCGGAGAGGGGGGTGCGAGGGCGCTGCCCGGGCCGGCAAGCGGTCTCGCGCGGCTTCCACGAGGGCCTGTCCGCGGCGTTGGACGGGTCGCGTCGGCTTGTCCGGAGGAGGGGCGGGCCGTGGGGCTTTGGGGAATGAAGGCTGGGAGGGATTTCTTGGGACGGAGCGCCAGGCGTGCCCCGCTCCGGGGGGGGCCTGCTCGGCGGTGGCGCCCCCCCGGCGTCCGGCCCCTCGAGGGGCGGGGCGGTCGGGCCCGTCCGGGAAGCCGCCGGGCTCGTCGGGTCTTGGGCCCCCTCCCGTCCTCCGGGGGCAGGGGGCGGGGACGCCGGCCGCGCGGGGCGTGGAGAGGAGGGGAGGAGGCGCCGTGGAGTGGGGAAGGGGCCGGCGGGGAGGGGGGGGGGGGGAGGGGAGGCCTTTTCGGAGCGTCCTGGGCTCTGGGGGGGTCGCTGGGCCGGCGCAGCTCCGTACTCGGTTGAAGGCGGGAGTAGGGAGGGGAGGGACGGGGCGGTGGAGCCGGTCGCGGGAGGAAGGAGAGGCGGGGCGGCCCCCGAGGTTGGCTGGAGTGCGGGGGGGGCCTGGAGAGTGTTGGGGGAGGTGGGTCGGGAGGGCCGGGCAGGCGGGACCCGTGGGGCACCCTTCGGGGGGCCCCGCAAGGGCCTTCTGGAGGGAAGAGGCGCTCTTGGCTCGAGGAGGAGGGGAGGGGGGGAGGAGCAGCGGTGCCGATCCGGAGATGGAGGACGGGCGAGGAGGCTCGGGTTTCCTGAAGGGGGAGCGAGAGCCGGGGGTCTCTTCGGGGGGTGGGTGCTCGGGTGCCGGGGGGGGGAGTGTGGGGGGTGGGGGCCGCGGGGGGGGGGGGGGTACGGAGGGGGAAGAGGGGGGATGGGGGGTCAGGGGGTAGAGGGTAGGCGGAGGGGGGGCCCTATCGGGCCGCCGGGGGGCCGTCCGGGCGCTGGTCGGCAGCCGGGAAAGGATGAGGGGTCGGGTCCGGGGGGGAGGTCTGGGAGGCTCCCGTGGCAGGTGTGGGGGGAGGACGCTGCGGGGGCGGGGGGGGGTGGGGGGGGCGTCGGGGGGCAAGGCGCTTGGGATGGCGAGGGGAGGTGCGGGGGGGGAGGGGGCTGCGCTGAGGAGTTGCGAGCCCCGTGGTGGAGGGGTTCGGGGAAGGCGAGGGGGGGGTCGGGGGAAGGGGCCTTCCGGCTTGTCTGCCAGTCGGGGAACGGCGACGGGGTTCTGCTGGAGCGGGGGGAGGTCGGAAGGCTGAGTTGTCGGGGAGGAAGGGGCCGCTGCGGAGAGGAGGGGATGGAGCGTAACGGACGGTTCAGCTTCTCGGGGGGAGAGGCGGGAGGGAGGACCTTGGTTCGGAGGAGGACGGTGTGCCCCGGTGGGCCGGCCCCCGCGGCGCGAGCCGGGGCGTTTGGTTGCGGGGCGGGGAGGGCGGCGGAGGGGCGGAGCGGCCTTTGCCGGGGGGGTGGAGGACGGGGAGGGGAGGAGCTTGGCGGGTGGACCCCTTTGCGGGAGGAGGAGCGTGGAAGGAGCTTGGGAGGAGGGGTCCGGTCCCGGGGTTCGGCTCCGCGGGCCGGGAGGGGGGGGGGGGGGGTCTGCCGGCTGGGGGGGGGGCTCGGGAAGAGGGGGGGGGTTTGGGGGCGGGGCTGGCTGTCGGGTTTCGTTATGCCGGCGGGGTCCCTTCGGTGGGAGGACGGGGTGGAGTCGGCTGAGAGGGGCTGGGGCAGTGATGAGCAGGCGCCCCCCCCCCCCGGCCCCCCCCCCCCCCCCCCCCGCCCCCGCCCGGGGGCCCCCCCCCCCCCCCCGTGGGGGGGGGGAGTGGGTGCCGTAGGGGGGGATGAGGAGGGCCCGGAGGGGGGAGGGTGGGGGGCGGCGTCTCGTGAGGCCGGAGGGGAGGAGGGGAGGGAGGAGCTGAGGAAGAGGAGGGAGGCCGGGGGGAGAGGCGGTCTGCCGGTCATGTCCAGCCGTCCAGGGGGGCTCCTTACGGCTAGGTGGGTGGGGAGCGCAGGGCCAGCACCGGGGGTCTTCGCGGGGTGGCACCTCACCGGGCTCCGTCCGGGTCCTGGATCGTCCCCGGGTGCGGCGGGCTGCCCGGGTGGTAGGTGGGGTGTCCTAGGGGGGGCGCCGGGAGGAGCCCATGGGAGTGTTGTAGGGCCGTTCTCCACCTTCTCCAGGGGAGGGCTCTCCTCTCAGGTTATCTCTGGGGGGGGGCCGGATGCTCTATTGGGACGGCTATGCACGGGACCTGTCCCTCCCAGAGAGATGGGGGTTCCGTATCGGGGGGGGTGACCCACCGGGGCCCCGGGGGCTGACGGAGAGGCCGGGTTTCACAGAGAGGTGGGGCGGGTGTTGCAGGGAATCGGCGGCAGGCGGAGCAAGGCAGATGTAGTTCCCGCCCCTCCACGGGGAGTTGTAGCGGGGTGCGGGGAGCGGAGCTCCGCCCCCACCTTGGCCGCCATCTTGGGGGAGACTTGGTAGGGTGTCTGGGATGACTGAGGACACAGGAGACAATGGGTGAGATGGGGGGGGAGGGGGAGGTGTGGGCCCTGCCGGGGGCCCGCTCTTACCTTTCAGGGCCACTTTGGCGCTGTAGCTCCCCAGGTAGCGGGAGTCAGTGGTGGGGGTGGGGTAGCACTCGTAGACGCCCTCGTCCTCGGCGTCGGACCTGTTGGAGGTGGAGCTCGGTGCTGTCCCCGCTCAGGCGACGGATGAAGATGTCTCCCTTGGCGGACGCGGGGGGAGAAGACGGCGTAGGCGAAGTCGGGGGGGTCCTTGGTGCTGGCGATGGAGATGGAGATGTCCGGGGAGCTGGGCCGGTACATGAACCACTCGAATGGTTCTGCGTGGGCGGGCCTTCATAGCCGCTGACATTGCAGAGGATGGAGATGGGGTTGTCTAGGACGCGGTACAGGGGCCCCTCCTGGACCCGCACTTCCCGAGCTCCGCCCAATCCTGGAGAGGGGGGAGGAGAACAGACGCCCATCAGACGGAGAGAGACTCAAGCATGCCGCCAGGGAAGTCAGGGGATGGAGATGGACTCCTGATTGGTGGGGAGGGCTTCTGGAACGGTCTGCGGAGGAGGGGCTCACCTGTCAGGGGGGGGATGGAGATGACGGTGGTGGGAGATGGGTAATGAGAGGGAGGGGCTCACCTGTCGGGGGGAGGATGGAGATGACCGTGGTGGGGGATGGAGATGACAGTGGTGGGGGATGGGGTAATGAGAGGGAGGGGCTCACCTGTCAGGGGGAGGATGGAGATGACAGTGGTGGGGGATGGGTAATGAGGGAGGGGCTCACCTGTCAGGGGGAGGATGGAGATGACGGTGGTGGGGGATGGGTGATGAGAGGGAGGGGCTCACCTGTCAGGTGGAGGATGGAGATGATGGTGGTGGGGGATGGCTGATGAGGGGGAGGGGTCTCGCCTGTGAGGATGGAGATGATGTGATGGGGGATGAGGGGGAAGGACTCACCTGTCGGGAGAGGATGGAGATGACGGCGGTGGGGGAGGGGCTCACCTGTGAGGAGGATGGGGATGATGGGGGTGGGACTCACCTGTGAGGAGGGTGGTGAGGATGGGGATGGGACGGCAGTGGGACTCACCTGTGAGGAGGAGGGGATGATGGCGGTGGGACTGGAGAGGGGATGTGAGGAGGATGGGGATGAGGGTGGGTTGGACTCACCTGTGAGGAGGGGGATTGGGGATGACTACCTGGAGGATGGGGGTGGGGATGTATGGCGGTGGGACATCGGTGAGGAGGGGGGATGATGGCGGTGGGACCACCTGTGAGGAGGATGGGGATGATGGGGGGGTGGGACTCACCTGTGAGGAGGGGTGTGGAGGATGGGGATGGGCGGTGGGACTCACCTGTGAGGAGGGGTGAGGGGATGGGGTGATGGCGGTGGGACTCACCTGTGAGGGTTTGGAGGGTGGGGAGGACGGGGATGATGGCGGTGGGGTACTCATCGGTGAGGAGGATGGGGATGGGGCGGTGGGACTCACCTGTGGGGAGTGGGATGATGGCGGTGGGACTCACCTGTGAGGGTGAGGAGGGGATGGGGATGATGGCGGTGGGACTCATCGGTGAGGAGGATGGGGATGATGGCGGTGGGACTCATCGGTGGGGTGGATGGGGATGATGGCAGTGGGGACTCACCTGTGGGGGGGTGAGGAGGATGGGGATGCTGGCGGTGGGACTCATCGGTGAGGAGGATGGGGGGGGGTGATGGCGGTGGGACTCACCTGGTGGGGGATGGGGGTGATGGCGGTGGGACTCACCTGTGAGGGGATGGGGGATGGAGATTGCAGTGGTGGGGGATGGGGGATGGGTGATGAGGGGCTCACCTGTCAGGGGGAGGATGGAAATGATGGTGGTGGGGGGATGGGTGATGAGGGGCTCACCTGTCAGGGGGAGGATGGAGGGATGGTGGTGGGGGGATGGGTGATGAGGGGGAGGGTCTCGCCTGTCGGGAGAGGATGGAGATGAAGGCGGTGGGGGAGGGGCTCACCTGTGAGAATGGGGATGATGGCGGTGGGGGAGGGGCTTACCTGTCGGGAGGAGGATGGGGATGGGGGTGGTGGGGGGTGGGGCTTACCGGTGAGGAGGATGGGGGATGACGGTGGTGGGACTTACCTGTGAGGAGGATGGAGATGACGGCGGTGAAGCGGACAGTCCTAATTGCCTCCATTCTACGGATTTGTTGGCTCCGCCCATTCCGCTATAGGGTGTGTCCGCCTCTCCCCGCCCATCGGACCACCGGTGGGCGGAGCGTTAGAGGGTGAGGACAAACCACACACAGGAAGTCCAAGGCACAATCTGTGGGCGTCGCCATCATCGGGGCGGTCACGTGACAGACGATGACTCCGCCCTCCTTCCGCATAGCTTTATTTACAATGGATGGGGCACCGTGCAGAGCGAGGCTGTCCCCGCCCAGGGGGAGGAGCAATGACAGGGGACGCCCCGGTGGCTGTCTCTGCCTGCGGCCAATGAGGTCCCTCCCCCGCCCCGGTCAATGTTCCGCTCAGTGACAGTTGTGTGGTCAGGTGACTCGGCCCATAGGACAGTTCTGCCGTTTGTTTTTTTTTAGACACACAGAGCTTGCCTTTGCTGCTATGTCATCACCATGAGGGGGGGGGGGGGGGGGGGAGGGAAGGGGGGTGTCAGTGTGATGGGTGGGTGTCAGTGTGTGATGGGTGGGTGTCGGTATGGTGGGTGTCAGTGTGATGGGTGGGTTACGGTATGGTGGGGGTGTCAGTGTGATGGGGGTGGGTGTGTCAGTAAGGGTGGGTGTCAGTGTGATGGGTGGGGGTGTCAGTGTGATGGGGGTGGGTTTCGGTATGGTGGGGTGTCAGTGTGATGGTGGGTGTCGTAGTGTATGGGTGGGTGTCGGTGTGATGGTGGGTGTCAGTGTATGGTGGTGGTTCGGTGTGATGGGTGGGTGGGTGTCGGTATGGTGGGTGTCGGTGTGGATGGGTGGGTGTCGGTATGGTGGGTGTCGTGTGATGGGTGGGTGTCGGTATGGTGGGTGTCGTGTGATGGGTGGGTGTCGGTATGGTGGGTGTCGGTTCGGTGTGATGGGTGGGTGTCGGTATTGGTGGGTGTCAGTGTGATGGGTGGGTGTCGGTATTGTGGGTGTCAGTGTATTGTGGGTGTCAGTATTGTGGGTGGTGTCAGTATGGTGGGTGTCGTTTGTTTTCGATGGGTGGGTGTCGGTTTGTGGGTGTCAGTATGGTTGGGTGTCGGTGTGATGGGTGGGTGTCGGTATGGTGGGTGTCGGGTGTGATGTGGTGGGTGTCAGTATGGTGGGTGTCGGTGGGATGGGTGGGTGTCGGTATGGTGGGTGTCGGGTGTTGGTGGGTGTCGGTGTGATGGGTGGGTTAGGAGTGTCGGTGTGGTTGGTGATGGGTGTCAGTATTGTGGGGTGTCAGTGTGATGGGTGTCGGTTGTGATGGTGGGTGTCGGTGTGATGGGTGGTGTCGTGTATGTGGGTGTCAGTATGGTGGGTGTCGGTGTGGATGGGTGGGTGTCGGTGTGATGGGTGGGTGTCGGTATGGTGGGTGTCGGTGTGATGGTGGGTGTCGGTATTGTGGGTGTCGGTATGGTGGGTGTGTCAGTGTGATGGGTGGGGGGGTGTCAGTATGGTGGGTGTCAGTGTGATGAGGTCCCCATAGGAGGCGCTGAGAGCAGAGGCCCCGCCCCCTGATGCCCGGGTCGGTCATGTGACCTCCAACCACCCCGAGGACTTTGTCACAATATCAGCAAATAGAACCGAATTCTGCTGCATTGACAGAACTCATCTTCATGACACGCCCCCCTGCTGGAGAACTGTCACTGGGGTGATGACCCCTGCACCGCTGGAGAACTGTCACTGGGGTGATGACCCCTGCACTGGTGTGATTGATGGCTCTTGCTGGAGAACTGTCACTGGGGTGATGAGAACCCTGCATGATGGCCGCTGGAGAAACTGTCACTGGGGTGATGATGGCTCTTGCTGGAGAATGATGGCTCTGTCGGTGAGGAAGGGACATCCCCTGTGTAACGTAGCCCCTCCCCCCCATGTTAGAAGGGGGTCTCAGTCCTACAAGCCCCATAAATCCTCTGCTTCTGATTTGATGGAGATCCCCCTCTAGTGATGAAGGGTGAAAGTGGGTGGGCACAGTAGTGTCTCCCCTCCCCCCGTAGCCCAACACTTGGGGGAACATTCTCTGGATCGGTCATCCATGGTAGACAGATGAGAATGTGAGAGAACAGGCCTGGGGGCCACAACTGACACTTAGGGGCCAATGACCTCCTCACATCCTTGTAGGTATAATGAGAGTGAACTGTCACTTCCCCGAGTCTGAGGGCAGTCCTAGCCAGGGACGATACAGTGAGAAGGCCCCGCACTGCCCACCCGCCATTGATGTGTCAGAGAAGGAATAGTCGAGGAGTGAAGGAGGCAGATGATTGGAGGACAGGATATGGGAGGGGGCAGGGCAGAGGGGGGGGGGGGGGGGGGGAGGGGTGGGAAGCCTCTCATGAGCGCCTCCTGCTGTCAGCCACCAACTGCTGAGCCATGGGAGTGTGCAGCCCCCACTGCATGTCACTGGAGCTCCTCCCCCCAGACAGTATAGACTGGCTGATTTCACTGGAGCTCCTCCCCCACACAGACTTCAGCAGAGCTCCTCCCCCACTGACTTCAGTGGAGCTCCGCCCTCCAGTGATTCCAGCAGAGCTCCGCCCCCAGACTAATTTCAGTGGAGTTCCTCCCCCCGTGATTCCAGCAGAGCTCCATCCACAGACACTAATTTCAGCGGAGCTCCGCCCCCAGACACAGATTTCAGCGGAGCTGCCCCCAAACCAGTGGAGTTCTGCCCCCCAGATTTCATTGGAGCTCCGCCCCCAGACACAGATGTCAGCGGGAGCTCCGCCCCCAGACACAGATGTCAGCGGAGCTCCGCCCCCAGACACAGATGTCAGCGGGAGCTCCACCCCCAGACACAGATTTCATTGGAGCTCCGCCCCCAGACAAACCAATGGAGTTCTGCCCCAGATTTCATTGGAGCTAGCCGCCCCCAGACACAGATGTCAGCGGAGCTCCGCCCCCAGACACAGATTTCATTGCGGAGCTCCGCCCCCAGACACAGATTTCAGCATCTCTCAGGAGCTCCGCCCCCAGACAAACCAGTGGAGTTCTGCCCCAGATTTTCATTGAGCCAGATTTTCATTGGAGCTCCGCCCCCAGACACTGATTTCAGTAGAGCTCTGCCCCCACTGACAGTAGATTTCAGTAGAGCTCCGCCCCCAGACAAACCAGTCAGTGGAGTTCCCCCCCCCCCCCCCCCCAGATTTCAGTAGAGCTCCGCCCCCAGACACAGATTTCAGTAGAGCTCCGCCCCCAGGACAAACCAGTGGAGTTTCCACCCCCCCAGATTTCATTGGAGCTAACCCGCCCCCCAGACACTGATGTCCGCGGAGCTCCGCCCCCCAGACACTGATGTCCGCGAGCTCCGCCCCCCCAGACACACTGATGTCCGCGGAGCTCCGCCCCCCAGACACTGATGTTCCAGTGGAGCTCCGCCCCCAGACGGACTGTCATTGGAAACTCCCGCGGCCCCCCCCCACTGATGTCCGGTGGAGCTCCGCCCCCAGACACTGATGTCCGCGGAGCTCCGCCCCCAGACACACTGATGTCCGTGGAGTTCTGCCGCCCTCAGACAGACTGACTTCATTGGAACTCCGCCCCCAGACACTGATGTCCGCGGAGCTCCGCCCCCAGACACTGATGTCCGCGGAGCTCCGCCCCCAGACACTGATGTCCCGCGGAGCTCCGCCCCCAGACAGACTGATGTCCGTGGAGCTCCGCCCCCAGAACAGACTGATGTCCGCGGAGCTCCCGCCCCCCAGACAGAGACTGATGTCCGCGGAGCTCCGCCCCCAGACAGACCAGATGTCCGCGGAGCTCCGCCCCCAGACACTGATTGTCCAGTAGGAGCTCCGCCCCAGACACTGAGTAGTCCTCGCAAAACCCAGGGAGTTTCCCCCCCCAGATTTCAATCCGCCCAACCAGACACTGATGTCCGCGGAGCTCCGCCCCCCAGACAACTGAGGGTTCCGCGGAGCTCCGCCCCCAGACACTGATGTCCGCCCCCAGACACGATTCCGCGGAGCTCCGCCCCCAGACACTGATGTCCGCGGTAGCTCCCCCCCCCAGCACACACAAGAATGCGGCAGGACGCAGGCGTTGTCAGAATCAGTGTTATTGTCACATACAAAAAATGTACAAAAATGTGCACAAAATCCATCAAATGTCTGGACCGAACATCGTCGCAATACGGCGCCCCCCCGGGGGACGGGCAACGCCATTGTTAGTCCCATCCAGCCACCCCCCAGAGCGGGGTTAGTAGGAGGGAGAAGAGACAGTGCCGTTAGTAAGTGACCCCCGACACATACATAGAGATATATACACCCAGCACTTCCTGACTCACACCCCCAGCAATGCTAGGCCCCCTTGTGCTCCATGAGTGGAACTGCAGGCCCTCCCATCCCCCGCTCAGGTCACCGAATCTTCGCTTCTTCTCCTGAAGGGCGATCATCAGGCGCCTCCACAACCAGACCGACGTCTTTGGGTTTCAGCTTGCGCTCCGCTCCCCTGGCCAGCGCCGCGCCTCCCGCTCCTTCCTGCGGATCCCCCCCCAACCAGCGCATGGAACACATTCGTCGATGTAGTAACGGAACGCGGCCCTGACGTCTCGAAGAACGGACAGCTGAATTCCCTCGCCAGGGACTACACGCCCAAACTCCACTCCTTCGGACAACCTGGCAACAAACCATGTGACCCAAATTACATCACAGCAGAGTCACGCCAACCACGGCATTCCACCTATGGGCGGAGTCCCATATACATCATCAGGGAGCCAGGGCAACCAACGGAACCTCCCGGAAAATACACACCAATCACAGGCCGGCACCGATTAGCATCAGGGATCACAGGCATACAGATTTAACCTATCCCCCCCCCCAGAATTCATAGATTCATCCCCACCCCCCCCCCCAAATTATAGATTACAAATATCCCCCCCCCCACCAGAAATAAACAGAATTTATCCCAGATTCATCCCTCCCCCCCTCAGACAGTGGAAGATCCAGCCCCCCCCCCCCAGAATTACAGATTCATCCCCCCCCCCCCAGAATTATAGATTCATCCCC